TTTCTTGTAGGCCCGCGGGTCCAGGAGCATGGCGGCGTGGGAAGCCATGATTCGATACTGGATGCAGGTGCCCGAGACACGCGTGCGACGTAGAGTGTTAGGCCCAGTGACTGATCACGGATCGGATGAGACGATGGCGGGGAGACTGGGAGGGACATCTAGATCGGTTCGAAAGAAAGTCGGGATTGCCTGCTGCAGGTGGAGGGAAAGGCTGGGCTGAGCATCCAACAGAGAGAGAGTTACTCGGAGGGCGGCAGTCCGGTTAGTTGGTGGTGGTGGTAGTGGTGGTGGTAGCCTTGGTGGTGGCGGCGTAGGGATGAGCGTCAAGTGAGAGAGTGTGTGAGGGGGAGCTCAGATCTCTTCCATCTTACGGCCAAGATGAGATGATCGGCCGGGCAAGAGGAAGCGCCAAAAGAAGCAAGCCAGTTATGATGGCAGAGTGAGGGATGACAGAGGAAAGAAGAGAGAGTAACTAGATAATTAGTAGGAGGTATCAATCTAGTTGCTTGACCGTGACGAGGAACCACCGATACATGATAAGATTGCGGGTCTTCTTCGGTCGGCGCTGTTTCAGTGCCCACTTTTCACCTGCTGATATCCGTCTGATATCAATATCTAGGTTTCTATATAACAAGAATAATAAGAGGTCTGACTTTCCCAAAAATTTAAGCACTCTTACATCATCGCTGACTTTGTATTAGAATTCTAAATGTACTTCAAAAACTATATACTGGTGTATTATGTATAAGGTAGACAGATAAGGAGGCAACCGCCCAAAAATCCCTCGCGAAGATCAACTTCCATTTCTATGACTAAACCATCAAGATTTTTCCAACAAGGACCAGACCCTGCAAAAGAACTCCTCATGCCAGGTTATCATGATACACGCTAAATAAAAGAAGAGAAGAAAAATGTGAAGAAGAATGGAAAGATGAGATGGGACCTGCGCCGATAGAAAGCAGATCCTGACTGATCGCAAGCAAACAACCGGGTTAACACCAGGTAAACACCGGGTTCTTGCTCTTAACTGCTTCTAGTCGCTCGACAATCACCTTGCGCTGGTTGCCTTCCATTCCCTCTGCGGCGGCATATCCCAGATCGCCCTCCAGGTCGTCGCTGCTCCAGATCAAATGCGCCTGCCCGCGCGCACTGGACACCGAACTGTGCTTCTGGTGCCGGTGGCCCGGGCGGGGAGGGAGCGTCGCCCAGCTTCGGTCCAGGCCTCGTCCCTGGCTCAGCTCGTCAATGCTGTCGCGCCCAAATCGGTAGTCGCCCATCGTAGCAGGGCTGCCGGACTGGGCCCGGGCATGTCCCGAGCTGGACCCGCGCCCGCGGGAGAGCTCGAATCGGTTCGGATTAGGCAGCTCATTTGGAGGAGAACTCAAACCCAGCAGGTCGACATCAGGGCCAGTACCAAAGGACATGGCGGCGCCAATGTCCATCTCCTCGTTGTCGGGATCGTAGCTGGCGTGCTTATCGTAATGTTCATAGCTCTTCACCTTCCGTTTCTGCGCATCAGTGGACGGCCCGCGGAGGGGGATCGCGACTGGAACATCCACCAAGTCATCCCAGACGCACACACGCGTCCGTCGTGTCAACTCCAGCGGACCATGATCGGGGTGCTTCAGCGTTTCAACTACGTTCCAGGCTTGTCCCTTCATGACTGCAATCTGTCGAGCAAACATGCTCTCTTTGAAATCGGAATCCTGCGAGAATACCCGCCGGAGGGCCATTTGAGTCCCGCTCCACCAGGCCGTCGAGGTAAGAAGGGGCAGGAAATGGTCGCGAGTTTTCTGCGAGAATGGCTGACCGATCAAAGAAACCGGAAGGAACAGCCAGCCGAACGGGAAGCTTCGCCACTATGACAGGTTAGCAAGGTTTGTGACATCGCGTTGATATTAAGACGGTGGGCTTACGGCATCGGGATGCTTCCACGGCCACGACAAACTGTTGTCAATCGCTCCGATCTGAACGGTCACCTGGGGGTCGGTTGCATTCAACGGGGTCCCAGTACGGCTGACAGCTACCATTGCTTCACGTCGCCGATAAGGATGCTGGGCTGCACTCGTTCCGTTGGAATTGACAGAAACGGGACGAGCAGGTGGCATGTCTTCATCATCCTCTTGTGTTTGAACTCCATTGGGCTTGGGCGGGTCAGCGACAATGGAAACCTCTTCAGTCTTCCAATCGATCTTGATCATCCAGTTATCCAATCCACGATCTGTGTTCCGCATGATATAGTCGAGAATCACAAGCTTCTCTAATTCTTCCCGGAACGACTGCTTCAAGCCTTCCGTCCAGTAGAACCGCCGTTCTCGGCTTTCCTCGCGGGGGGATGGCGTGCGCGCCTGACCGTCTTCATATTCTTCTTCATCCTCGTCATCGGAATGGACGCCGGAGGGGCGGCAAGCTTCACTCCACGGCCGCTTCTTGCGCTTCGGGGCATCCTCCGCTCGGAAACCAGTGTTAGTCTGATCTGGCCAAGGGTGGTCTCGCAGGAAGAGGTTCGCATCCTTGTAGCCCTTCAAAAAGACCTGGAAACTGCCTGCTTTTGGAGGAAGCGGCCTCTTGCCCATCCAAGCCTTCCTGCGGTCCCAGAAATCGTAGAAGAACGATTTCGAAGATAGCCAAACAATGTCGGTGTAGGGGACGAGGTTCGTGTGAAGACGCGAGTCGAGAACGTACGCCGCAGCTTCCGAGACATACGACAGGTTAGGAATTAGGCATGCCCGGCCAAAGAAGCAGGGGAACAAGTTTCGGTGGATCCATTTGGTCCACTTCGGGTTGCGGGATGCATATGGTTCCTCATCCTTGGGCTTGAATACTCCCACAACTTTACCCTCGGCATTGCGTGCAAAGTAACTACCAGAACTTCCCTGAGAGATCATCCTCGGATGGACACCCATCTCAATGGCTATCCGGACACTCTCCACAACTTCCTCGAACTCATCCCGGGCTCTGCGCGCAGCCCCCTCGATCTCGTCCGACTCGAGGGCTTCCGCAGAGATGGGCCGAACTCCGTCGGGAGCCTGGAAGACAGAGTGATAGATCTCGAGCTTCTCCTCCTCGAAGGTCTTGCCCTTAACACGGTTGATCTTAAACTTGGAGGCGATCTCCTCCGCCCACCGTTCGAGACGGGCATTGATGGCCTTGATGTCGACCCCGGAATTCCTCCGTCCTCGGCGATAGTGGCCACTCAGTCGTCGACGGTGTTCGGGGGGTGTGGACAGGCCGGCGGCCTGCATCTGGGCTCGGGAGGAGATGGGAGCATATCGGGGGGCGGACTGGGAAATCGTGCTGGGGGCGTGTAGGTCGTCATCGTCGGAATAATCGTACAAGTCATTGGCTCTATCCTCCTCCTCTTGAGCCAAGCGGGCGTAACCCGAGGTCGCTGGCCGATTACTTTTGGGCATAGTGAATGGAAGCGGGATAGTTTATAAAATAATGGGACAAGTCGAGTCGGGAGGCAACCACTTTCGGACCATATGAAGGCGACGGGGCAAGGGAAAGAATTAAGGTAGGAGGTGAATAATGAACGGCGAGAAGGGGAAGGATGATTGATAAACAAACTCAAGCCATTACTGGATTAGAGACGAGTAAAGACAAAGTAGAAGCGATAGTCCCCGACCACGGAGAGGTAGGGAGAGCGACAGAGAGAGGGAGGGAGGGAGAGAGCAGATTCCAAGAATCCAGAGCCGGAGAGAGAGTTCGAGGCAGCGCCGCTGTCATCTTGAAGAAGTGGCCGCTCGCCGCAATTACCACTCGTACCGTCACCGTACCACCAATTACGGCAGCTTAGTCAAGCACATGGCAGTCAGGGTCCAAATCAGCCACACCCCGGATACCATACCATACCGCACCGCCACCTCTGGTCGTATCGTGCCGCTGGGATCCACTCGAGCTTCACGGAAGCCCCTGAATTATCGATGGCTCGCAACGCGATGCTTTTCCCCGGAGAAGGAATAGACGTTTTCTGGGGAAGGGGAGAGATACCAAGAAGGTTGCTGCTCAATTAGAGCTGTCAATTCCCCTCTGATTCAGAGAGTCAGTGGGTTGAACGAGAAAGCACAACAAACTACTACTTCACTCCGCAGTCTCTGTTTCTACAAATAGTAACAGCCATGCTCTGTTCAATTGAGCCAGATAATTCGGGATCTTATGGTTGATACTTGTCGTCCAGTTCATCGACAACAGCTACTGCCATTGACCCCGTGCAGACACTGGCAGCCGTTTTCCAGCACTTCCACTCCACGCGATATGCGCGCCATGGCTTCGTCCCTCCAACGAGATTATGCTACGATCTAAGACATGGACCGATAGAGTGAAACGAGGTGCAGTAGCATGATGTATGAAGAATTGCTATAATGGAGAACATCAACAGTCGAATGGTTGCGCACCAATCAGCAATACCATGACTGATTCCGATCACAGCAAGCATGAGTCCTGGTCAGCCACTCTGCCGGTCAACTATCGTCTGCTATTGACGCTCAGCTCCACCTCAGCCTCCACTCCACTATAGAAAAATCGAGAGTGATGATGGTCTCTGGCCGTTGAAGGACAAGCTTGAAAGACAAAAGAACACAGGGGCGATCACAGTAAATACTAGGCTGGTGGGAAAGGGGCATGCAGGGGCGCGACAACAACATTGCGAAGATTCATTCCGGGCCCGTCCCGCGCATACTATTAGATAGGCGCATAAACCTTGGAGAGCAGAAGCATAGCATAGCAACAGCCCGGGACTGACTGGGGAGGAGGTGATAAGGAGGAATTCCTACGGGTGACGGATCCCTATCCAAGATTTAATCTGAGTATCCAAGACTCGGCTGGGCCCAGCCAAGCGGCGGTTCCGCAGAGCCATTTCGATAAATAATCGATAGCCTCCGACGCGCGATAGCAGCCCCGATAATCAACCCTCGATCTTCCTTCTCCCTCCCGACCATCCTGTTCCCCTCCAGATTTGTCTCGAATCCCCTTCCCCAAACCCTATCATCTTCTTTCGCATGATTCATTTCCGGTCAATCCGCTTGAATCCTTCTGTTTTTCACCTTCTTGTCGCTCCTTTCAGCAATCGCTCCTTGGGTCGATTTGCAGCAACTTGTCCCCGAGACAGCCTTGTGTTGAGATCTTTTACTCCTGGAGTATAATCTCTTATGTCCCTTGGGCCGGACAAAAGCAATTATCAAAAACAAAAAGAAAATCATTTCGGGCTTGGTAAAAGTTTATTGATCGTTTGATCACAACTGGTCAACCAAAAAAAAAAAAGTTGAACGACATTCCATATCATTCCTCCCTTTCAGACGTGGCTGGTCCTCTCCAACGGCACGAATCTTTCCCCCAAAACCGTCGTATACCACTCCCGGAACGACGGAAAACCTCCCCTCGAATCGTCTACAGTTCGGTCATTTGGGGCCGGATTTCTAGCTAGTTCCCTCCGACAACCTCCACGGTGGCTTCACTCCTGTTCCGGGCGTCGCCCATCGACCCAGCCCTTCGTCCGCCGTCGCCGTCGAACTCCCAGTCTCAAGACTCGAACTACAAACATACTTCCTCTTCGACTGACAGTCAATCGGGATCGCGTCAATCGACTACGGATACTGGCGCGGGAGCATCATCAGCGTCATCGCAGTATTCTGGAACACTTCCCGAGGCGAGTTCTCTAGATAAATACACCCACAGCCCGAGCAGTAGCAGCAACGGTAGTGCCTTTCCCAGCTCTCTGGGCCCATCTCTGCCTGGACTCTCTGCTTTGGCCTCGGTCGCATCCGCGCCCACTTCCAATCTGCGGTATGTGTACCCAGCAAGAACCTTTCCCTATGCGATGTTGCATAGACGAGACCAGGTAACGGAATGAGAGGGGAATCGCAGTGAAGATCATACGTGATTCCCCTGCCATATCCGAAGGGGCGATATGATAATCTTGAATGCTCACATGCCCAATGCGCCCGTATCTCTGGTTATGCTGACGAGTCTTACGTGTACAGAGCCTCGAGTAGCAATGCGCAGCCCAGTATGGCCAATATGACATACGCGACATCTTCTCCGGCTGCCACTACTGGTGGGCAGGGCAATAATCCTGTAAGTTACTGAAACGATCTTATCATCGGAGGACGATGGTTTTTATCGAGCTACGCTGGTTTTGTTGCTTTTTCCTTCTTGCTTTGGGGTGAAATTTTTGGTGTTCATGGTGACCCTTAATTTCCTGGGTTTCTTTTTCTGTGCCAATCCAATCTGCTGTTATCAGCAGCCGCTGGGGGCTTGGCGCCGCACCACCTGCTCCTTATCGCGCCAGCCCATCAAATCTCTCCCGATCTTATCAACCCAGCGCTCTTCCTCCTCCATCCACTATCAGTCCGCTTCCCCATCTTCTGTCTTTCCCTCCCCTCTCCTTCGCGCAATCCTACTGTTACAAAAACAATGGCGACCACGCTGGCTGATCACAAACGTCCTCAATTACAGCCTGTGTGCCAGAATTGCGGCACTTCTACGACACCTCTCTGGCGCAGAGACGAACTCGGCTCCGTTCTTTGCAACGCCTGTGGCTTGTTCCTCAAACTACATGGCAGGCCCCGTCCGATAAGCTTAAAGACCGATGTCATCAAGAGTCGCAACCGGGTCAAGACTGCTGGTCAGGGCCCCAAGCGTAAGGTGAGTCGGTCGTCTAGAAAAATTTTCCCTGCCTGTATACTGTCGTCGTTCACCTGAGATAACGGTCGCTAACATCCATATCAATCTCTTATCAGTCCGGCGGTGCTATCGATACAAATGGCTTGTCTACCTCGAGGTCCGAAGCAGGGACGCCGCCCATGGGGTCCCAAGGATACCGTCGCGCGTCGCGGAAGGCATCACCGGGCCATTCCGACCGATCCAACTCACCCGTCTCCCGAACCGAAACGCCTGGTATCCCTTCCATGCAACAACCACACCCGCAGTCGCAACACAATGCCAACATTGCGCCCCAGCACATGTTCGATAGTGTCACAATCGGCGACCACGGTCTCAGCCAGCCGAATGCGCTACCCTCGGTGCAGCCGCGCCAGCCCTCGCCCACGGCGACCTCGGCGGCTGTGGACCGCCATCTCGAGTCACCACAGACCTACGATGGACTGCTCGCAGCCAATACTTCTTTGAAGACTCGCGTGAGCGAATTGGAGTTTATCAATGAACTCTTCCGGGGCCGGGTGACGGAACTGGAGCAGAGCGGCGCGACTGCGCGCCGATCGGAGATGATCGTCCGGGACTCCGAGGTACGACTCCGGCGGTCTCTGGAGGAGGCCCAACGGCGCGAAGACGATCTGAAACGGCGGATATCTGAGCTGGAGCGACAGCTTAGCGAACAGACCTCCTCTGCCAACCCGGCGGGCAATGACAGTCCCGGCGAGCCGCTGGCCAAGCGGATGCGGCTGTCCGACGTCGTGGAGCAACCTGCGGAATCGCCGACAAAATCCCCCAAGAGTGTCTAAGGCCTCACGGGAGGGGGGCTTTGTTCGGACGATGGACGCGCATACGTGCGTCGGGCAGCACCGACGTAAACAAATGCGCACACAGTCTGCGGTGCTGCGTTCTCTGATCTTCCCCGGTCTCTTTGATACCCTTTACGAGTCTTGTCATTGGCTGGCTGTATATCGGATTAACTACCTAATTATATCACACAACCTTCTTTTCGAGCCACTTTCCCCCATTCTCTTCTTCTACTCATCCTATTTGTTCCGATATGAGTCGGGGAGAGATTATTCTGCGCCTGCACCAACCCCCTCATCCCAGCCCGACCGCACAAAAAACCCCTCAGAAAGAGCGAAAAAGAAAAGGACCTGTAAAGGGTTTACATGTGTTCAAAGTAATTCGTGTTATTATTAACTCCCTGAATCTAACTATTGTCTTCTTCCAACATTATCTGTCGTAATACCGATCATCCGATGCAACAGTATTGAGTGACCACATACTATACTTCCGAAGGCGGAAGGAAACCTTCACAGTATCCCCATTGTAACCCAACCTAACCTAATCCTTAAGACCACCGACCCTATATCATCCCACTTAAATGATGAAACCCCCAACCTGGGCATCCCATCTCATCTCATTACTCCACTCCGTCGATCCGATTCCTTCCTTATCAGTTGCGATGGATGAAGTGCACTGGTCACGAGTCCGGAGTACCCGGAATTGTACCCGACCTCCTTACAATGCAATCTGCAATCTGCCCTTATCAATGCCCATCACGCAAATCCTCCCTTTATTATTGGCCCAACCTGATTTGTTGTCCGTCGGGGATACGACGTTGATCGGCATCTCCTCACTCAAGGAATTGCTTGTGTATAACCGTAAGCAGATTTTCATCCTATCTATGATCTATCTATACTTCTATATATGGTAATCTGGCCCTTGGGGGTTGCTTATTACCCGGATTCCCGACGGTCGGGGATGTGCTGATTGGAGGGTTCCCCGCTTTTGAGGGAGAGTGATGCGGTTATACTAACCTATTGTTGGGTTGATGGGATTATTCTTATCTGGGTTTATGTTTAGATAGAGTGTATAGGTAGGTGAGGGGGTAATGATGGGTAATGACTTAGTGCATGTAGGGGGATGTCGCCATTTGGAGCGCAATGCTCGTTGGCTCTAGTACTTATCGGAGGTAGATGGATAGGCATCTGGCTGCCTCTTCCTATCTTTCTAACGAATGTAAGGGCGCATTCATGATGCTGGAAATCTTCTTTGTAGAGCAGTCATGGCTGGGATCGAATTAGAGCGTCAGTGATGAGAACGGATAATAATCGGAGTTATCTCGAATAGGCAGAACAGGGATGCATGTCGATAGGACTAGACACATGACATAGAGCACGTGTCTCTCTATCTATGAATCTAGCGCTTCAACCATCACCATTCAGATAGTTCATGCAGCTATGAAGACAGTATTGCGTCTCTGTAGCCCTATCAATGGCATTATCAGCCGTCCCAAACTATCACTACAATGGCCCATCACCTCCTCCCCCCTGCACCCCTATCAACACAGACATACAAGCTCCCACCCATCCCCATCACCACCACGCACGTTCCCCACAACAGGATACGAACTCCTCAATCACATCCCCAAGCTAGAAGAAGAATCTCTTCCCGACTACCGAGCCGAGCGATTCTACCCCGTTCACATCGGTGAAGTCTTCAATTTCCGATACCAAGTCATCACCAAGCTAGGCTTCGGATCCTCATCCACCGTCTGGCTATGTCGTGACTACAGTATGCATACTACCTTCACACACACACACACACACACTTACCTAGTTACTCCTCACCAGCCCCATAAACCACTCTAACTAATACTCCAGAACCAACAACTACCTAACCCTAAAACTCCACGTCCGCAGCACCCAACACACCCACCTCCCGGAGATCCGCATATCCAAACACCTAAAACAAGCCCACCACACCAAATCCGAACATAGTAAACATGTAGGCCAGAAATACACCCGCCTCATCCACGACTCCTTCGAGATCCAAGGCCCCCACGGAATCCACCCATGTATTCTCTACCAGCCATCCGGAATGGACATCTGCGATTACATCCAATGTCTGGAGGGCAACGCATTACCAGAGGATCTCCTCCGCGTAACCATCCGGTTTATGCTCATTGCGCTGGATTATCTCCATTCGGCTAATGTGGTTCATACAGGTAAACCACAGAGCCCCAATCTGCCTCTCACATTCATCCATAGATAGTCTACTAAGTAAGGTATGATTAGACATCCAACCAACCAACATCCTCCTAGGCAACGAAGACACCTCAATCCTAACCGACCTAGAATAGGAAGAACTCAACGAGCCTGCTCCGCGGAAACACCTTCCGGATAATAGAACCATCTACGCTACGCGCGGAATGCCCTTCACGACTGGGGAACCTATGCTCGCTGATCTGGGGGAGGCGAGATTACTTCCCACTGATACGGGCACGCAGACTAGTGGTTCTATCATCATGCCGGGGTTATATAGAGCCCCGGAAGTAATGCTTAATATGGAGTGGGATGAGAAGGTGGATATATGGGCTTTGGGGCAGACGGTACAGTTCCTTAACTACCTACCTATCAACTCCGTTGAAGTAGACTAACTATGGATGATGCTAAGGCATGGTCCCTACTTCAATCAAACTACCTCTTCACCAACACCCCACAACTGACTACACAGGATGATCATGCTCGTCGCTTCGCAGAGATGATAGCCCTGCTTGGGCATCCACCTGTTGAGTTTCTGGGTCGGAGTGAGGAGAGTAGGAGGTTTTGGGATCGAGATTGTATGTCTTCTTTACCTATCCCTAGCACCTATATAAATGGAAAGTTTCGGTTTTGGCTGACTAGTTAAATTGTGTATAAAGGTAACTGGAAGAGTCACGTAGAGATTCCTGAAGAATCCCTGGATGATCGAGTGACGCGACTCGAGGGCGACAGGAAGAGGCTTTTTCTGCGGTTTCTGCGGAAGACTTTGAGCTGGGTTCCTGGGGAGAGGCCGAGAGCGAGGGAGTTGTTGATGGAGGATGAGTGGGTTAGGGGGGAGGAGTATTGATGTATTATTACCATATAGATAGTATTTATGGGTATGGATTCCCAGATATCTGTAGAAATATGGAATAGTAGCAATTATATATGTGAGGAGACTAGCTGGATTGGTCTTATGTAGCTTAGTGTATTGTTGGAGTGCTCGGGGCCGGAACCCCAGAGTTACATAACGGCACTGCCCCTACGATGAGATGATCGGAAACACTTTGAAATCAATGATTGTCTATATGAAATTGCGAACCCTCTATGTTGAAAATCCCAACCAAATTGCCTGTTAAAATGGCACATATCTCTGGGTATATTTACGAGGAAGACAAAAAAAAGTCACCGCTTTCAGCCTCTTACTCCTAAGGCTTCAGACTACTCTTCCATCCTAGGCAAGTCGGTCATGCTCGACCTTCTTGTGCATCGCGCCGTGGATGCGTCTCTCGTGCAGGATACTCCACAGACAGACGACCACACCGGCCACACCAGACAAGAACGTCGTGTAGTACGCAGACTGGTAGCAAGCCAGACCATCCGGGCAGTCGCGGTCTCCGTTGGGCTCGACAATCGAGTGGCGGTCGTAGATGCTGCCGTAGAGCAGATTGAAGACGTTGCCACTGAACACAGGCGCAAGCGTCATGACACCCCAGTTCTGGGAGAGACCACCGATGCCAAAGGTGTGGGCGACCAGCGACGGGAAGACGCCGAAAAGGAAGCCATATGCGATACCGGTGAATCCAGATACAATGGCTAATTGGTGAGGGTTGGAGATGGCGGAGCCAGCAAGCTGGGTGACGGTGAAGACGAAGGCGGAGATGAACAAGCACCAGAATCGCGACATGTTCAGCTTCTTCACCAGAAGGTCGGAGCCAATACCTATAGGAGGTTAGCAGCCAATTCTGAAGATTGAAGGTGCCGACATACCGCTAGAAAGTCGACCAATAAAGTTTCCGAAAGACAGAATCGAGACATGCATAACCTGGCGCTGTTGAATAAACTTCGGGCTTGCGCTGTCGTCGTAGTACTGCCAAAGTGCCTTGGCCTGCAAGAATAAGGTCAGCTGACATAGATAAGGTCGTGCGAAGTCGCCTTACGCTGTTTCCAATGTTGCTATTGAACGGTTAGCATCAATTTTGTGCAAAGATAAGACAATGGTACTAACTTGATAGTCATCAAACCAATTCCAGAAAGAAGCGCCATCGTCAAAAAGAGTTGCCAGAACTCAATCTTCGGAAGCATCGCCAAGCCGCGAACGTCCGGGTGCGGGGAGTCGGGAGCAACATCGGAGAGAGCATCGTCATCCTCCTCGTGTTGGTTGAGGAATTCTCGGGATGAGCGTGAGGGAACTTTGGACACCAAGGAGGATGTTTCGTCAATATCGGGGTTGTGGCCGGGGTGATGGGGACTCGACACGACCGAGTGCGATGTGTCACGCGCTGCGGGACAGGATTCATAGGTTATGAAGGTCTGCGTACCTGCTTCATCAGATTCTTCCAGGCTGTGCCGGAACTCTGTAGATCTAGTAGTGCGCAGTCGCTGAGATTCTACGCCAGGGGACCTGCCCCGTCCGAGTGGCATATACGGCTCACTAGGAGGCAAAATACGAAGAAACGGGATCGAAACGAGGTTTAGGGCACAGGTGCCCAGAGCCAGCAAAAGGAGGAAGCGGCCAGTATCGTCCTTGAAGAGAACCGAGGAAACGGTGGACCAGAAGAACGCGCTCAACCCAAAAGCGGCCAAGGGGAAAGCGGTCGCTGTTCCACGGTGATCGGGGAAGTTGGAAGCCGCTAAACGATGTTGTCAGCCAAACAAGTTAACAGAGCCATTGGAAAGGCTTGGCATACATGTCTTAATAGATGCTGAGAAGGCTGAGCAACTTCCGAAGCCAGTCAAGAAAGCGAAAAACGACAGGAAGATAATGGCCATCGACCCGGGTCCCTTGACGTATGCTGTATATGCCGACGTCAGCTAGTTTCAAGGTCCGCAGGGTTCAATATAGGGCATACCCAGATAGATGGGATAGTAGCCAATTCCCAGCGTGATCGCACCCAAGAAAGTCGTCAGACGCGGACCTCGAGCATCTGTCAACAGACCCAACGGGATTCCCGATGCATACATGCCCAAATTCCCAGCCGCACCCTGGAAGTATTATCAATTAACGTTGAACTCTGGGTGACGGGCGCAATGGGCGGCTTACAATGAAGTTGCTTTCGGTGGAGGAGATCTTCATTTGTTGCGCGAATTGGGGCGCCCATGCCGAGTATGCATACTGTCACGGATATCAGACTCGTGCTCAACAGCCAGCTTCATATGGATCTAGAGAAGGGAAGAAGCGCACGTTGGTACCACACGCGAGAGCAACCAGGGTGGCCGCTACGACGGAAACGATCCGCTTCGATTTATTGGGCGAGGCTGCGGCCATGGCGAAGCGGGATGGGAAGGGCGATGACACCGGGGGAAGGCCAGTAGGGAACTCTTCGCATCGAAATATGCGGGGGAGGGTCGCAGTGGCCGGACGACTAGTATTTGTAGTTCGTTGGCCGGGATGGTGGTGCAGTGGATAAACGTTATCACGTCACGATAACCGGAGGAGAGCGAAGTAAGGACGGCCGGCTAGACCTCGACCATAGATAACCGCACCACGGATGATAGTAGTGTAGTACTAGTAGTAGTAGTTGGGGGTGGTAGTCTAAGGAAGGACAGAAAAACACAAGATAAAAAAGAAGGGCAGAAAAGAGTGCAAGAAGAGAGAGAAGAAGGGAGAGAAACAGAAAAAGAAAAGAGCGACGTGAGTAACTATTTAGTGTTTGGATGTCCTTCCAGCAATGGAAATTTAGTACACTCCACCCTCCCACGCAATCAATTAGTAGTCAAGTAGCAAAGTGTCCCCAAAAGTGTCCCGTCGGACTCGTCAGCTCAACTCAGGCTAGTCTCCCCGGACGGACGAGATCGGAGGGGAGTCATAGTAGTATGGTATCGTATGGTAACTGCAGTACCACCTCGAATGAGTGTGACAGACCTGACAGCCAGTCGCTTATCGCCGATAAGGTCATCATTACCGGCACACTTGCCCCGGATACACAGGCACGTGATTTTAATGCATGCTCCATCACGTGGAGTAACATCCCCAGACATTATTGTGGAGGGAAAGCATAACTGCTGAACCTACTAGGTTTGGCAGGTGCTGCCTCATTCCGAACAGCTACTTAGTAGTATATAGTGCAAATAACTATAGTACTCTTGAGATCGCTTCATGGTGCTGTTATCGTAGCCGACTTTGCTGGCCGCGCGTAAGAAACCAACCATCCGCTAAGATCCCCGGCACATGACGAAGGCGGCGAACCTCCGCGGCTTCTCCTCCTGCCATTCCGTCTTCATCTTTCCAGTATCCCCAGGCAAATTATCATCATCCCATCTCTGCATCTGGGTCAAACATTGTCTTTAGTGAGAGGGAGTGACACTCTTCGTCCTCCATCATGGGTGCCCTCTTATCTCTGCCTCTGCTGGCTCTCCCCAGTGCCAGCACGGTACGTGCACCTCCATCACCGCCATCTAATCCCCCCACTGACATCAAGGTAGCTCATCACCCTCGCGACATCGTGCTGCGGCGCAGCAACCTGCTCGGCAGTATGTAGTGCATGCGGGAAGTTTCAGAACAGGTCAGCGACATTCGAATAGAAAAATTAAACTTGCGCTTCGTGATGTTGGATTTGGCTGACATTAGGCTCCGACGAACAGTATGGCTACGAGAATCGCCTATGCCTTCATCCTCTTGTTCAATTCAATCATCTCCTGGATAATGCTCACACCATGGGCGCTCAAAAAGTTACAACACATGACACTAGATTACATGGAAATCAGATGTGATGGAAAAGAATGCTATGGTTGGGTGGCCGTTCATCGAATCAACTTCGGTCTTGGGCTCTTCCATTTGATCCTCGCCTTCATGCTACTTGGTGTCAGGTCCTCCAAGGATGGCCGTGCGGTACTTCAGAATGGGTTCTGGGGTCCCAAGATCATTCTGTGGCTTGCGCTCGTTGTCGCTTCATTCTTCATCCCCGAGTCGTTTTTCTTCGTCTACGGCCACTATATCGCCTTTATTTGCGCCATGTTGTTCCTCCTGCTGGGTCTCATCCTCTTGGTGGATCTGGCGCATTCATGGGCTGAATTGTGCCTGCAGAAGATCGAAGATAGCGATTCACGCACGTGGCGTGGCCTTCTGATCGGCTCCACTGTGGGCATGTACATTGCATCTCTCGTCATGACGGTCTTGATGTATGTCTTCTTTGCGCACAGCGGATGCGCCATGAACCAGGCTGCGATTACTGTAAGTTTTCTGCGTCTCCTACAGTCTTGTCATCTGCCGCCTCAGGCCTCGTGCTTACTTCCGTAATAGATTAACCTCGTTGTCTTCCTTATTATTTCGATCATATCGGTGCAGCCCATGGTGCAGGAATCCAACCCCAGAGCAGGATTGGCCCAGGCCGCCATGGTTACAGTTTATTGCACCTATCTCACCATGTCGGCGGTGTCCATGGAGCCAGATGACCGTCACTGTAACCCTCTGATTCGCGCCCGAGGCACCCGAACGGCTAGTATCGTTTTGGGTGCGATTGTCACCATGGCTACCATCGCGTATACGACCACCCGCGCGGCCACCCAGGGCATTGCGCTAGGCTCGAAAGGGGGGCACAACTACTCGCAGCTGGGATCGGATGACAACGAGCATGGTCTTGTGACCCAGCAGCCAACCACTCGTCGCGAGATGCGGGCCGAGGCTCTTCGGGCGGCAGTCGAGAGTGGTGCTTTGCCCGCCAGTGCGCTGGATGACAGCGACGACGAATCCGACGAGTATGACACCAAGGACGACGAAAAGGGATCGACGCAGTATAATTACTCCTTATTCCACATTATCTTCTTCTTGGCCACCACCTGGGTGGCCACCTTGCTGACTCAGAACCTGGACCCGGAGGCCGTCGATGACTTCGCGCCCGTTGGTCGCACCTACTGGGCCAGCTGGGTGAAGATCATCAGTGCCTGGGTGTGCTATGGAATCTACCTGTGGACCCTGATCGCACCGGTGGTTCTACCGGACCGCTTTGACGCCTACTGATCGTGGATCTTGAGTTGAAAGTCACGTATGACCGGGAGTTGGGCGTTGAACAGCGATATCTCTTTTTTCTCGTAGTTGTACAGTTCCTGCCGTTCTACGTCATAATGGGTGCAGCCATTCTGCAACTGAATTCCCCTATTGTTACTTTGCGACATACCATGCTCAGCTGCTGTTGTCTTTGAAAGAACTCGCATGTATCATATTACAATCCGTTAAGCGCACAAGAATGATATTTATGCTATTGGAACTGGTTGTCGTTGTATCTGCTTGTAGATGTTGAAACTCCCGCCCGGCGATGCGCTTATCGCAGCCACCGCGTAAAGTGGCCGGCGAGCGCGTGTCACCGCGTTTCTTCTGCCCTCTCAAGTTTCACTCTCACCATGGCATGAACATGGCGACCATCAAGGCCATCGAGGCCCGCTCAGTACGTCTGCCTGGTATTTATTACTAAGATACCTTCTAATCCGTACACTACAGATCCATCAAATCCAATCCGGTCAAGTCATTGTTGACTTGTGCTCCGTTGCAAAGGAACTGGTCGAAAACAGTCTCGATGCCGGAGCAACCTCAATAGGTACAACAACAACCACCTAAATCCAGCCCACATTGCATGCCATAAATTGGTGTCGCTAACTTTATTCAAATTCATTTAGAAATTCGCTTCAAAAACAATGGCCTAGACTTAATCGAAGTCCAAGACAACGGCAGCGGAATCTCCCCCGATAACTACGCCAACGTCGCATTAAAACACTACACTTCCAAACTCTCCTCCTACGAAGACCTCACCACTCTCCACACCTTTGGATTCCGCGGCGAAGCGCTATCATCCCTATGCGCATTGTCCGACTTCCGCATTACCACTGCGCAAGCGAATCAAGCTCCAAAAGCCACCCGACTTGATTTCGAACCCTCCGGGAAATTGAAAAAGACGCAGATAGTCGCGGGGCAAAAAGGTACGACGGCTTCGGTGGAGAGTATCTTCAAGGGATTACCGGTACGGCGACGAGAGCTGGAGAAGAACATCAAGCGCGAGTATGGCAAGGTGTTGAACCTGTTACATGCGTACGCGTGCGTCAGCACGGGGGTGCGCTTCAGCGTCCGGAACTCAGTGGGCAAAACGAAGAATGTGGTGGTGTTTAGCACGAATGGAAACCAGACGACGAAGGAGAATATTGCCAATGTGTATGGGGCGAAGACGCTGCTGGCGCTGATTCCATTGGATTTGGCGCTGGAGTTTGAGCCGTCTGCTGCGGCAGGGAGGAGAATTACTGGGTTTGGGGAGGTGAATAAACTCACGGTTCGCGGACATGTCTCAAAACCGGTGTTTGGGGAGGGGAGACAGACTCCGGATCGGCAGATGTTCTTTGTGAATTCTCGCCCATGTGGGTTGCCGCAGATCGCAAAGGCGTTTAATGAGGTGTATAAGTCGTTTAACGTGTCTCAGTCGCCGTTTGTATTTGCTGATTTCCATATGGATACGAACGCTTATGATGTCAATGTGTCGCCGGATAAGCGGACCATTCTGTTGCATGATGCGGGAGCGCTGATTGATTCACTGAAGGAGTCGCTGGTGCAACTGTTTGAGTCGTCGGATCAGACGGTGCCGCAGTCGTTGGTTGTTGGCTCGAAGCCGACTCCTACTATCAAACAACGCTTGGGAAGTTTGCAGTCCCAGACTCAGAGTCCGAACCGGCCTGCAGTGGATGATGTGAATTCCTCGGCAGCTGATGATCAGGAACGAGTGGGAAGCCAAGGGACTGGAGAAGTGCAGTCGAGCTCGCAAGACCGGATGAAGAGCTTCTTGAGCGGTCTTGGAGCCCGTGGCAGTAGTCCAGTTGTGTCCTCTCCTGCAGGGCGGGATGCACCAAGCATACAAGAGAAGCCTATGCCTTCGTCACCTCAAGACGAGCCTGAACCAATGGAAGAGGACAATGAGCTCTTCGTGAGGCAGGACTCCCCTGGTGAACCACAGCCTCCTACGCAAGAGGAAACCGCGGAAGAAGCCCCCCAACAGCGCGAAGATAACCTCTCGTCTCAGGACATGGCTCCTGAGGAGCCTTCGTCGACGCAGATAGCCGACCCCTTGGAGGAAACACCCAATACTATCCAAAACGCTTTTGATCGGATGCGGCCAAGGCGAATGCCTCCTGAGATGGCTACCATTACCATCGGCAACCGGACGGTTACGTCTATGGTGGGGAGTGGGTTGCCCAGAAAGCGGTCCGTAGGTGCTGGTGATGCCGCTGGCCCTACGACCCGTAAAAGACGGATACACACGCCTTCGCGCCCTAGCATATTTGGCAAGCACATGCGGGATTTTGCTGCTCCAGGATCACAAATGGAACCGGGAAGTGAAGATGAAGAGATTCTGGATGAGGAGGCCGAAGATGCAAATGAGGAGAGCGACGAAGGTGAGGAGCCTATAGAGGAAGAGGAGGAAGTCGAGGAAGAAGACGAAAGTGATGGATCTCAATCTTATGCTCCGTCAGGCAATGAAGAGGATCAACCTCCCGAAGATGTTAGCAGTGACCACCATAACCACGAAGCCAGCAATGGCAAAGAATCTCAAAACTCACAACAGCTTAGCTCCTCGAGGGAGAACATAAGCGAGGAAGAGAAAAAGCGCCATGAAGAAGCAGAAGTCCAACGACTCATCCAAGAAGCAGAGGACAAAGCAGCATTGCCACAAGACAACAATATTCATCGCGCCAACAAGATGAATAAGGGGGCTGCTCACCGTGACTCTACTGTGCAGCTAATGAGTACTATCGATGGTTCTCTTTCCAAGATACAATCACAGCTTGGGCAACTGCAGGAAAGCCTCCGCCGTTGGGAAGAACACCACGGCCCCTCCCAGGGCGAAGATGAGGCGGCAGTGCAACAAGAAACGGCCGAGGAAAGACTATCTTTAACGGTTAGCAAAGACGACTTTGCCAACATGCGGATAGTCGGGCAGTTCAATCTCGGGTTCATCCTAGCTACACGCTCATCCGTCGATGACACTGGTGCTGAATCATCGGTGAAAGACGAACTCTTCATCATAGACCAGCATGCCTCTGATGAAAAGTTCAACTTCGAACGACTGCAGGCAGAAACCGTGGTGCAGAATCAGCGTCTCGTCCAACCGAAGCGCCTCGATCTCACTGCAGTGGATGAGGAGATTGTCATTGAGAACCAAGCCGCGCTGGAAAAGAACGGCTTCATTGTAGAAGTGGACGAGAGCGGAGACGAGCCTATCGGGCGACGCTGCAAGTTGGTCTCGCTGCCCTTGAGCAAAGAAGTTGTCTTTGGAGTTCGGGATCTGGAAGAGCTCATTGTTCTATTGTCGGAAACGCCTACTAACGCTGCGCGGTCAGCGTCAGGAATGTATATACCCCGTCCGAGCAAAGTGCGGAAGATGTTCGCCATGCGGGCATGTCGGTCGAGCATCATGATCGGGAAGACCTTGACGGTCAAGCAGATGCAGAAGGTGGTGCAGAACATGGGCACCATTGATAAGCCGTGGAATTGTCCCCATGGCCGGCCGACTATGAGGCACCTGATGAGCTTGGGGCAATGGAACGAATGGGATGAGTTGGATGATGAGGAAGACCAACCAGTAGATTCATTGGATATGTGGCGAGGGTTTTACCAGGAAATGGCTGCACAGAGTGAGGAGGAAGCAGAGGAAGCAGAGTAGATCTAAGTTTGATTGCTCGTGTTTACCGTTTACTTTTGAATAACATTATAGACTAGCGGAGTCATTGGATATATATTTTCAGGATTAGCCGACATTCTATCTCATCTACGATTGCGTTTATCTCCCTTTGAAATACGCGTCACCGTTCAGTTTTCCAACTTGAGTTCGGTCAATGAGATCAAATTATTTATGACTGAATGATAAGCTATCTCATCATACTTCAGTGCGATGTATTTACTACGCGAGCCGTGGATGCATGAATGAGGGACCCTCGGGATCGGCATCCGAAAGGATAAACGCACGATAACAGTCGGTCCATACACCGAAGCTATCTCAATGGCTGGTGCAGCATGGCCATCTCTTGGCCACTTATCAAGTAGTACGACACGTCACGATTGGATGCAGCTGCAGGTCTCCTTGCAGTTGCAATTGAGATTGCGGGGATGCCACACTCCCCGCTCGGGACTCCTCCCGACAGCTGCTCTACAAATACCCTTCCTTGCCCAAAAGGTCTCAACTTAACGCTCAGTATATACAGGACTGGTAGACCATCATGCGGACACTTTACTTCTCACCTCGCGTGCGCGCATCTATTCTTCACACCAGCCGGAGGGCAGGTCAGCCACTGCGAGCCCTCAGTCTCTGGCATCCTCCCAAGTTCGAGAATGAGAAGCCAGTAAGTGTCTCCCTCGATACCATGACACTCACTAACAACACCAGCTCGACTACGCAAAAGGCTCACCCGAAAGGGCCGAGTTGACGCAAGCCCTACAGAAGCTGAAGAGTGAGATGCCCTTTAACATCCCACTCACCATCAATGGCTCCACAGTAAGTCACCTCTCCTGTGACCGAACCCACGCAGCTAATCAGCTAGACACAAACTATCAAATCCCAAATCCAAAAGAACCCCTCACGCCACAACGAGGTAGTTGCCGAATATGCATCCGCTACGCCCGAGCAGGTTAACACCGCCGTGGACGCAGCCCTCAAAGCCAAACCAGCCTGGGAGGCTATGCCCTTCGAAGACCGCGCCGCCATCTTCCTACGCGCCTCTGAGCTCATCGCAGGGAAATACCGCTCTGAAATTGTTGCCGCCACCATGCTTGGCCAAGGCAAGAACATATGGCAAGCTGAGATCGACGCCGCCGCAGAAACAGTCGACTTCTTCCGCCACTACATCCAAGAGTGCTGGTCACTCTTCGCCCAGCAGCCCAAAGTTCACCTCCCCGGTACCTGGAACAAGCTTGAATACCGGCCTCTAGAAGGCTTCGTCTACGCCATTGCCCCATTCAACTTCACCGCACTAGGCGCAACCCTCATCGGCCCAGCCGCCCTCCTAGGCAATGTCGTAATCTGGAAGCCATCCGACTCTGCCCTCCACGCCAGCTGGCTCCTGCACCAAATTCTCCTCGAAGCTGGTCTCCCCAAAGACGTAGTCCAATTTCTCCCCGGCGACGCCGAACAAGTAACCAACACAATCCTCCATCGTCCCGAATTCGGCGCCCTCACCTTCATAGGCTCCACGCAAGTCTTCAAAGGCCTGCAAAAGAAGATCGGCAACGCCATCGGAGAGGGTATCTACAACTCCTACCCACGCGTGATCGGCGAAACCGGCGGCAAGAACTGGGGCCTCGTTCACCCCTCAGCGGACATCACCAACGCAGCTCTAAACACCATCCGCGGCGCTTTCGAATATCAGGGCCAGAAATGCTCCGCTAACTCCCGCGTGTACGTCGCCGAATCCGTCTGGCCTGCTTTCCAGCAAACTTTGAAGGACCACCTCTCCCGCCTGTCTGTCGGCCCCGTCGATGAATACGCCCACTTCATTAACCCCGTCATCCACGAACGCGCCTTCGACCGCCTCGCAGAGGTCATTCACTCCGCACGCAATGATCCGGAACTCGAACTCATTGCCGGCGGTATCGCCGATAAGAGTCAAGGATACTACGTACACCCGACTGTATATCGCACCACGAACCCGAAGCATGAGATCATGTCTCGGGAGCTGTTTGGCCCTATTCTAGGCGTATATGTGTACCCGGACAACGAGTGGGAACAGACACTAAAGTTGGTGGACGGGACATCGCGCTATGCCTTGACGGGGAGTATCTATGCGAAGGACCCGTATGCGTCGCGACAGGCGCAGACGGCGCTGCGTCATGCGGCGGGTATGCTTTACTTGAATACGAAGTGTACGGGGTCGACGGTCGCGCAGCAGCCGTTTGGGGGTAGTCGGGACTCCGGGACGAATGATAAGACCGGCACGATGGCGCATTTGCAGCGGTTTGTGAGTGTGAGGACGATTAAGGAGGAGTTTGGAAGCTTGGAGGAGGTGGAGTATCCTTCTAATGTTGTGTGATGCTGCAGCGTGCAAAGGTAAATTGATCTATTATACGTTCTCAATTAGCACTAGTAAGTATCAGTAGTAGTAGCATTGCATCAGTCGAAGAAATTTTCCAATACTACTCTACGGTGTTGATGATGGGCTGAATATATAGATATATATTCCTAATTTGAAATTCAAATTTCCAAAGGTTCCTCAGAATGGAACCGAGTTTTAGGAATAACTTTGTTCTATGTAGCTGTCAACATACGTTCCAGAAATAAGGCCTGTCCTAAACAACTAGTCATGCAGTCTTCTACTATTCGGGTTTGCTCAACCAGTGAAGGAGACCCCCGTTAGCCCTTCCACTGGCATCGTAATGAATGCAGTGGAATAAGCATACTTTAGTGAAACCCAATTAATTTACAGAGCAACTGGCTTACATTCCTGCAGCCGGAACGGAACGGATAACGGTTTTGCGAAAGATGATCGAGCTTGGGTCAATTGATGCATTCCTGCATGCAAGGGGCATTCGCTGACGGAATGCAAATATCATTTCGACAACCAGAAGTATTCAGTTCTCCATATCTACAAAGTACTTCCATCGTTGCCAGTAGCCTTTATCTTATTTCCTATAAACTGTATAGCCTTTCGTTACATCTGACGCCGTGATGATGATGATGATGATGATGATGATGAAACCGGCAACGCTTCCATTCTCATCAACATGTGAGCAGGGATCTAGACTGTAGGAGGATTCCGGTTCAATCCAATAACGCCCCAAGGGTTAAGAAAGGTCACACAAACATGCCATGCTTCCTATATCCTGCTATATTATCACCAAGGTTGACTGGTACCGAAAAAACAAGATCGTCTACAATTTGGTGGATTCGGCCAGGTGCAAGTCAACCCTACTCCCGCATATTTTCCTCGACCACAGCTCTTACAGGATAGCCCCCAAAGCGGTAAGATCAATTCCAGTATTGGGTGCCATTCCATAATGAAATCAAGTATAATGAACGTTAAGACATTCTCAGATATTATTAGATGCTCGAAGTCTCTTACTAGATTTATCCATGTCCTCTTTCTCCCCTTCCTTTTTCCCTAGTTCTTCTTCCTTCACACAAGCAGGAGACATATGAAAACCCGACTGACAACGATAACTTTTGGGAAACGACCTGGGAGGGGAATACTCTCAATTCAATCAAGTCACAATGTCGTTTCTGTCCAACAATCCTCGTCTTACCCAGAACGGAGGCCTAGCGCCTGCTTACGATTCACAATCCGAGCAACCATTCGCAAAATCACCCGTGGCCATCGAGTCCTGCATACACGACTTAATCGAACAGCGCTGTCAAGAACAACCTGAAGCTTCCGCAGTATGTGCTTGGGATGGCGAATTTACGTATCAGCAACTCAGTAACTTGTCTCGCTCGCTCGGTGCGTTGCTATCTGCTCAGGGTGTTGCACCGGAGGTCTTCGTGCCTGTCTACTTTGAGAAATCCCGGTGGACAGTGATTGCGATCCTAGGCATTTTGCACGCCGGAGGCGCTTTTGTATTACTTGACCCATCACACCCGTTCCAACGACTCGAGAGCATCTGTCAAAAGGTGAAGGCACGGTTGGTAATAACTTCATCCCAGAATGCACCACAAGCTGGCCGTCTTGCCTCAAATGTGGTGGTTGTAAATGAAAAGACAGTGCTGGAAGACCATAATTCAGTTCGAGGAGCAGATAGTTATTCGAAGCCAAACAATGCCGCCTATGCTATGTTTACCTCCGGGAGTACAGGCACTCCTAAGGGGGTTGTTATTGAACATCGATCTGTCTCATCTTGGGTCGTCGCCTACGGCCCAAGAGTAGATCTCACCCACACATCGCGTGCACTTCAGTTTTCTTCTTACGCCTTTGATGGCTGTCTTATGGAGAGCTTCCCCGTGTTAATACACGGGGGATGCGTATGTATTCCGTCGGAAGAGGAACGACGGAGTGACCTTGTCGCTGCAATGAATCGCCTGCGAGTTAACTGGGCTTTTCTCACCCCGTCCATGACCCGTTCCCTGGATCCCATGAGACTGCCAATGCTGAGGACCTTGGCATGTGGTGGGGAAGCCATGGCTGCGCAGGACAGAGACCAATGGGCTTCTCACTTGTCCTTGTTCAATGTTTACGGGCCCACCGAATGTACTGTTGTAACCTGTGTTCAAGCCGTCCCTGAGGCAGCGGATTTGCCTATCAAAATCGGCTATCCGGTCGGTGGAAGCTACTGGATAGTAGATGAGGATGACGTTCAAAGTCTCTGTGCAGTAGGTCAAATAGGTGAGCTGCTGATAGAAGGCCCGATTGTTGGGCGAGGATACATGAAGGACGAGGCCAACACTGCTAATAGCTTCATCGACCGTCCCGAATGGCTGCGGAATTTATGGCCGAGCGCCCGGGGCAAAGTTTATAGGACAGGTGATCTTGCCCGCTGTCATCCAGATGGATCTATCGAATGCCTGGGCCGCAAGGACAGTCAATTGAAAATCCGTGGACAACGAATGGAAGCGGCCGAGATTGAACATCACCTTCGCTTACATCTCCCTGTCAAGGATGCGGCCGTGGAGTTGATTCAAGCGAAGGACGACCCTGGAACATCTTTATTGGCTGCGTTTGTGGTACGCGAGATCAGGAATACGTGCCTTTCACAAACGACCAATCCGGAAGCTGATTTACTGGCTTCAGATGAGGGTTTCGAGATATTAATCCAGCAAGTGAGGTCCAAGATGCGACAAATGTTTCCCGGCTACATGGTTCCCACAGTATTTCTGACACTATCCTCCATGCCTTTGATGAGTATCAGCGGCAAACTGGACCGCCGGAGGCTACGACAGCTTGGGAATCCTAAATCCGCAGAGAATTGTTGAAGCTTGGTCTGGAGAAAACAGTGACGACACCGCCCCGGAATTTGAAGGAGGAAACGATGCAACGGCTGTGGGCTGAGGTACTGCATTTGCCTGCTGGATGTATTGGCATTAACGATAGTTTCTGGAACCTAGGCGGGAATTCCATACGGGCGATGAAGTTGGCTGGGATAGCGCGCCGGCACGGGCTCACCCTAAGAGCCGATGAGATTTGGGGAGCCAGTACGCTAGAGGAAATGGCATCGCATGCACGTTTAGACAGTCTTCCGTCGGAAGAAACGCCGGCTTTCTCGCTTTGTATGGATCGGAGTGAGCAGACGGAGATAGTGCAGAGCCTAGGCGCGCATCAGGTAAACCAGGATGAGATTGAGGACATATACCCTTGCACTCCGCTCCAGGAGGGTCTCTTTTCATCGGCCGTCACACGTCCCGGCGTGTACACCATATCTCTTGAATATGAGCTTCCGGCTCACCTCGAGGTTGATCGATTCCGCCGCGCTTGGCAAGCAACAGTTGAGGCCAACCCAATTCTGCGGACACGGATAGTGTCAGGTAAAGGTGCATGTCTTTACCAGGCTGTCATCCGCGATAATATTCCATGGGACACACGAAACCCGAGCGATGATGTCCCCGAAGAGTGGAAAACCTGGCTGTTGGGGCGCCGATTGATCAGACTGGCGTTAAGTGATCTAAAAACCTCGAAGACGCCTCGCCATTTCACGCTGGTAATTCACCACGCACTAGTCGATGGCTGGGCGCTTCCATTATTGCTGCAACAAGTGGAAGCTGCCTACAGAGGGGAGCAATTAGTCTCAAGGCCTTTTAGTCCCTTTGTCCGATACTTGACATCGCAATGTCAGAGTGAGATAGACCGTCATTGGATGGAGTGTCTATCGGGCCTCAACACAGTCCAGTTTCCCAAGCTGCCGTCCCCTGGCTATGTACCGAAACCGACGGGAATGACAGCACATACCATTCCCATTGCAGCGGCTTCCGACATTGATCAAATAACTCTACCGACTCGACTCACCATGGCTTGGGCCCTTCTATTGTCTCACTACACAGATAGTCAGGATATAGTCTTTGGAGTAACTGTTGCCGGCCGTGGTGCGCCAGTTGAGGGCATCGAGTCGATGACTGGGCCCACTATCGCTACTATTCCAAGACGACTACTTTTTGAGCCTCGAGCAACAGTGATCGAGATCTTGAAAAGTATTCAGGCGCAGTCACTTCATACGATGTTCGCGGAGCAAGCTGGGCTTCAGCGCATCAGTCGCCTAGGCGCTGAGCCTAACGCTGCCACCCAGTTCCAGAGTCTCTTCGTCATTCAGGCAGACGAAGGCGAACATCGACCTTCGCCCATGTTTTCCAAAGTCCGCAGCCTCACTCGTCCGGCAGATATCAGTACATATGGTATTACAATAAATGCTAAGCCTTCGTCGACCTCGGTGTTGCTTGAAGTCACCTACGACCCGCTGATGGTTACCGATGTGCAAGTGGAACGGCTAACTCATCAACTGGAAAAGATATACCTTCAAATAGAGCAGATTCCCAACGCCCACGTGGAAGATATTGAGAGCATCAGTTCTTGGGATGTGGCGACGTTGCGAAAGTGGAACGGCCAACCCCCGGTACGGGTCGAACAGTGTGCCCATGAACTCATCTTTCAACGTACGCTGGCCCAGCCCGAAGCACCCGCTGTTTGTTCGTGGGATGGGGGGCTATCATACCCGGAACTTGACTCGTATGCCAACAATCTGGCAAAGCATCTAGTGCGCATGGGGGTTGGCCCTGAAACATTCGTTCCCTTGTACTTCGAGAAATCGCGGTGGACCACGGTCGCCATGTTGGCTGTCCTGAAAGCTGGCGGCGCATTTACCTTGCTCGACCTCTCACATCCGAAAGACCGACTTCAACAAATTTGTCAGGAACTAAGTGCCTCTATTGCCATCTGCTCGGAAGCTACCGCCCCTTATGTCAAACAACTTGGGCCAATGGATGTTGTCATCCTCGGCCCCAACCATACCAAACTAGTCGCCACTGAATGTTCTGTGAACATAACTTCGTCCACCCCAGACAACGCCATGTATGTCGTGTTTACTTCGGGGTCAACCGGCAAGCCCAAAGGGGCTGTTATAACGCATGGAAGTTGGTGCACTATGACGCAGGCGGTATACCCCAAACTTCATCTCAGCCATGCCTCGCGGGTGTTGCAATTCGCTTCCCATGCGTTCGATGCGAGCATATTCGACTACCTCACGACGCTTGTAGCTGGCGGCTGTGTATGTGTGCCTTCAGAGCATGACCGCATGTCAAATCTTCCGAAAGCCATCGCAGAACTCCAAGCCAATTGGGCGTTGCTCACACCCACTGTCGCACGCACAATAAGCCCTCAAACTTCTCCTTCTTTGAAGCATCTCTTGCTAGGTGGGGAGCCTATGACCCCGGCTGATGTCCAGCAGTGGTCCCCTTACCTGCAGCTTATGAATGCCTACGGCCCAGCTGAATGCGCAGTCATAGTTACCTTACAACAGGCCGTAAGAGACCCTCAGATGACAGCTAATATTGGTACTACTAGCGGGGCTGTCGGATGGGTTGTTGATCCACGCAATGTCAATCGCCTGTGCCCAGTCGGCGCTGTCGGAGAGCTGCTTGTTGAAGGACCGACTATTGCGCGGGAATACGTGAACCATCCGGAAATGACGGCGGAGGCTTTTGTAAAAGATCCCACCTGGATGCACACCTTCCGGAACCGCATGACCAGATTGTATAGAACCGGAGATCTCGTTCAGTACACAGATACAGGAGAATTCAGGTTTGTTGGTCGCAAGGATACGCAAGTTAAGCTGCGTGGACAGCGAGTGGAGATAGGAGAGGTTGAACATCACCTACGCCGCTGTTTTCCTGGTGCTCAGGGAGCAGTTGCTGACGTCCTTTCCTCCCAGGATGGGCAAGCTGCTCTTCTGGCCGGGTTCGTCATACGCACGCCGAACGAAGATCAAAGCTGTCTTATCCTGGAGAGCGACACAAGCTTTTCCCGGGCAGCAGCCATTGCGCTTTCTCGGATGAGACAGGCCCTTCCGTCATATATGGTCCCAACCGTTCTGATCCCGCTCAGTCGTCTGCCTCTCTCTTCAACGGGTAAACTGGATCGGTGCGATCTGCAAAGGCAGACAGCCCGGTTGTCTCGCGAACAGCTTGATAAGTTCCGCATGGCAGAGAAAGCCCCCCTTCGAGAACCAGAGACTCACACCCAGGCGGAGCTACGGCGACTTTTCGGGGTTGTGCTGTCGATGCCTGAGGGACAAATTGGAGTCGAGGACGACTTCTTTGACAGGGGAGGTGACTCCCTATCAGCCATGAAATTGGTAGCGCTCGCTCAGAGGTCGGGGTACTCTTTGACAGTTGGGGACATTTTCACATGCCCGCGCATAATCGATCTAGTGGCGAGGACAAGCATTGTGGACGGCATTTGTAGTGGCGATGTACTACCGTTCAGCCTAGTCCCAGATCTGCGGGTGCAAGAGGACATTATATCAACGCTACAGGCGCAGGCCAATATAGCCAGAGACCAGATTGAGGACATGTATCCATGTACCCCAATGCAAGAGGGTCTCATGGCGCTGACACTGAAAAGTCCCGGAAAATATGTCGCGACGTTGTCTTACGATCTCGTGGAAGGGGTCGACCTAGATCGTTTTCAAGCTGCGTGGGATGCGACTATTGTTGCAAATCCCATCCTGCGTACACGGCTGGCGCAGGGTCCTGGAGGCAGCTTCCAGGTCGTGGTGCGAGAGGCGCCCTGTTGGGAGAGGTATAGCACGCAGCAGGATTATGAAGAACGCGCTGAGATGGCGGCTATGGGGCCCCATGTACGCTTACTTCGCCTTTCGTTAATCCATGATCCTCCCCGTTTCGTTGTGACTATCCACCATGCCCTTTATGATGGCTGGTCATTGTCTCTGCTGTGGGACCAGGCCGAGGCTGCTTACCGTGGACAAACTCTTCAGCCCCGGCCATTTTCACCGTTCATCCATTATCTTCAGCAGCAGAACGACTCAACAGCATTTTGGCGGTCTGAATTCGAGGAACTCAGCGCGGCTGTTTTCCCAGTGCTCCCATACCCGACTTACGAGCCCACACCAAGCCAGGCTATCCATAGACGACATTCCATGGCAGCAGATGTTATGTTAAATTTTACTATACCGACGGCTATCCAATTGGCATGGGCCATTATCCTGTCGTACTATACGGACTCGCTTGATGTCGTATTTGGTCTAACAGTCAGCGGGCGCGCCGCAGCCTTGCATGGCATTGACAAACTTACAGGGCCAACTGTGACAACTGTTCCACTCCGCATCAAGTTAGACTTCGATCGATTTGTACAGGATGAGGCTCACCGGATTCAGAAGCAGCTGACAGCCATGACGGCTCACGAACAGACAGGATTGCGCAACATTCGTCCACTTAGCAGTGATGCAGACAAGGCATGCCAGTTTCAGAGCCATCTGGGAATTCTTTCAATACCCAAGTCTAGCCATGGCACCTTGGCGACCCATATTCAAAGCGAGCACCTGGACTACGGGGGGTTTGCAAGCTACGGTTTTGTTCTTATCTGCCAATTAGCCCCGGAAGCGCATGATCATCTGGATATTATTGCCCAGTATGACCCGGGCATGTTGGGTGTAGACCAAGTCCAGAGAATTGTCATGCAGTTCGAGCACATTCTCGACCAAATCGTCTCTCACCCGGGCTTGTCTCTACGATGTCTCTCAGCAGTTAGTGATTATGATTGGAAAGAAATGACTGGCTGGAATGCTACACTGCCACCGTCATCAGAGAGTTGCTTACATGATTTGGTCCTTGGCCATGAAATTTCCCGTTCATCTGCACTAGCGGTTTGTGCTTGGGATGGAGACTTGACGTTCGAACAGTTAGCCTCCTCCTCTCTTAGGCTATCACAAGTACTTTGGAACAGCGGTCTTCAGGAGGGGTCGGTTGTGCCTATTTGTTTGGAAAAATCAAAATGGTCGGTCATATGCATGGTCGCTATCTTACGTTCTGGAGCAACTGCCACGTGCATTGACCCTATACTTCCAATAGAACGGCTGCAGAGTATTATGAATCAGACCAAGCCTCAAGTGGTTATATGCTCAAAAGAGACCGAGGGGAAGTTTAAGGGACATTCTATTGCCACAGTATTGACTGTGCCCTTTCCAATGCAAGTGCTTGGGCTCGGTTCGGGTTCTGCTGAAAAGGCCTCGGTAAGCCCCAGCTCCCCAGCATTTATTGTCTTCACGTCCGGATCGACCGGACGGCCAAAGGGTATAGTTATGGAACATCGAAACTTATCAACGAGCATTCAATATCACCGCGAGGCGTTGAACATTACCCAGAATAGCCGAATGCTTCATTTTGCGTCATATGCCTTTGATGCTAGTGTTTATGAGATATTCACAACTCTTGTCACCGGAGGATGCGTCTGTATACCGTTCGAGTCTGAGCGGATGAACGCAATTGAACAATTCATTGCAGACAAGCAAGTAAACGTTGCCCTCTTGACCCCATCGATGCTTGCCATACTGGATCCGGATCAGGTACCCAGTCTGAAGACTGTTATATCAGGAGGCGAAGCGCTGACACGGCACGTTGTTGGTCGATGGGCATCTCGTGTAGCACTAATCAATGCTTATGGCCCGGCTGAGACGATTATATGCGCGGCAGGGCCAGTCGTCGAGGGAGATTGGACGCCAGGCACCGTTGGCCCTGTCCTAGGCGGAGCAGCATGGGTGGCTGCTCCCTCTGATCCCACACGATTAGTCCCTCTCGGCGCAGTGGGCGAGCTCATCATTGAAGGGCCAATTGTCACAAGAGGATACATGAACAGCCCTGAACTCACGCGGGCAGGGTATATCGACGCCCCAGAATGGCTCACTCGTTTCCGAAATGGCCGCCCAGGCCGCCTCTATCGCTCTGGTGACCTTGTCGAGCTTACTACTGAGGGGACAGTTCGGTTTATCGGTCGCAAAGACACGCAGATTAAGCTGCGCGGACAGCGTATTGAGTTGGCTGAAGTCGAATATCATGTGCGTAAGTGTATCGGAGGTTTTGATGCGATTGTCGAGATTGTAAATATAGACGGTTCGCCGATCTTATTTGCCTGTGTTGTTCAGGGCATGTCCGGCGGGAAGGCCGAAGACGGACTCTTCCTTCCTCCCACAGGCGCCTTCCAAAGGGCCATGCAGGTCGCCCAGGTCTCTCTTCGTGATGCTATCCCTGAATATATGATCCCATCCGTGTTTCTTCCTATCTCCAAAGCTCCTCAGACAACTGGAGGAAAGATAGACCGCAATGCTCTTCGCAAAGCTGTCGAGGGTCTTTGGCCCTCTAAAATTCAGCGATACACGGCCGCAGCACAACGCAGCCACCGGCAACCATCAACCGCACGAGAAAAGGCTATTCAAGCCGTCTGGGCCCATGTCTTGAACAAGAGCCTCGAGATGGTTGGCGTTGACGACAGCTTCTTCTATCTCGGCGGAGACTCAATCAGTGCGATGCAGATTGTCTCCCAATTGAAAACCGCCGGAATCCGCACCACCGTCGAGTGCATTTTTCAACAGAGCACGATTGCCAAAATAGCTACAACAGCCATGAGTGATGTCATCAGCCCATCTGATTGTAGGCAGGAAGAGTCCTGCGATACTCCATTCCGCCTATCACCGATCCAACAGCTATTCCTGGACAGAGTCCCGGTGCACTATGACCATTTCAACCAGAGCTTTCTCTTTGAACTCCAGCGACCCGTGCAGGCTGACAAGGTAGAGCAGGCCATACAATACATAGTACGGTCTCATCCCATGCTGCGGGCGCGGTTCTCCCGTCATCCGGTAGGGGGCTGGCATCAGACAATCACCAAGGATGTGGACGGTTCTTACCGGTATGAGCAACACGTGAATATGACACAGAACGACGCCGAACCCATTTTCATGGAACACCAGAAAACATTAAGCATTGAAAATGGGCCATTGCTTGCTGTGGACTTGATGAGCATCCACGGCGAGAAACAATGGCTGTCCATAATTGCCCACCATCTCGTTGTCGATATCGTATCTTGGCAGACTATCTTGGACCAGCTAGAGCGGCTTTTAGGATCGATGCCTGTCATCCCAACGAGCACAATGCCCTTCCTTAGATGGAGCCGACTTCAAGAAGAGCACATAGCCTCTGACCCAAAGATAAGAGACCAGGCTGCTCCCTTGGCGCTTATGGATTATTGGGGGCTTTCTGAAACCAGCAATGATTACGCTGACGTAGACGTCTACGAAACAAGGCTTAACTACCAGCATACTAGTTGTCTGCTGGGGCCTGCCAATGAAGCATTTCGCACAAGGCCAATCGAGTTGCTGCAGGCGGCGCTGATGCATGCGTTCGCGAGGACATTCCCCGATAGACCGACCCCTGTTGTCTTCAATGAAGCCCACGGGCGCGATCCATGGGCAGACGATATTGACGTGACAGGAACCGTTGGCTGGTTTACGAATATCTGGCCCTCCCATGTGCCTCTAGATCCCGGTACTGATCTAATAGACGCGGTATGTCGCACTAAGGATGGTCGACGCGATTCCCAGGACCTTGGGCGATTCTTCTTGGGGACGCGTCAAGGTCGAGAATCTGCACTGGAAATCCTTTTCACTATGTTGGCGCTCTAGAGATAGGAAAAAGATCCAATTCACTTTTCAAGCGGGCTCCATTGCCAATTTCAGAGCTTGTCAACCAGGGACCACATGTCGGTCGCTTTGCTCTTATTGACATCCTTGCCGAAGTGACAGATGGAACATTATCTGTTCAGTTTATGTACAACCGGCGTATGAGGCACGCAGAGAGGATCATCGAATGGGCAGAACGCACCCAGGGGGCCCTGTCGAGTCTAGCCCAGCGGCTTCCCACTATTCCTTCTCGTCTGACTCGATCTGATGTGCCTCTACTGCGCTTGACTGACGGGCAATTCTCCGAATTCCAGGCCCAAATAGTCGACCAACTCACTACCGCAGGAAAGGCCGTGGAGGATGCATATCCCTGTGCGCCCATCCAACTCGGCATGCTGCTAAGTCAGGCGAAAAATCCGCAAAACTATACAAGTCGCCTGGTATGGACAATGCAGGCCCAAGACGAGGGACCTATCCAGATTGACCGGCTCATGAGGGCGTGGGGGCAGGTTGTGAATAGACACCGGCTACTTCGCACTATATTTGTGGACAGTCTGCGAGGGGACGGCAGCATTGACCAGGTCGTCCTAGAAGATGTACAGCCAACTATTGTCAATCTAGTCATAACAGGGACAGAGAGCCTCATACAAGGATTAAGTCATTTGGAGCGTTCTCCTTTGCCTGACTTGCATCCAGCGCACCGGTTAACGATCTGTCAGTCTCCTACAGGCTCGGTAGGTTGCGCTCTTGACGTCAACCACGCTCTGGTGGACGGCAACTCGCGCCAGATCATTCTACATGACCTATTACTAGCATGCGACGGTATGCTGCCTCCGGAATCAGATCATGTATACAGAGACTACGTTTCATATCTGCAGCAGCCGCTATTAGATCCGGCCCGCACCTACTGGGATCAATACACGGAGGGTCTCGAACCCTGCATTTTCCCCAACCTAATGGGTGGTAGTGAAAACATTCCCACTGCAGAAATTGGCAGAGTGGACCGCTCGTTACGTGGGATTTCGTCCCTGCGTGAGTTCTGCCGAATCAACGAACTGACAATGGCTTCGGTCTTCCAAGTGGCCTGGGGGCTGGTACTCCGTGCATACGCGCGTACCGAGGACATATGCTATGGCTATATGACGTCCGGCCGTGATACACCCATCGCTGGCATTGAGGATGCAGTAGGACCGTTTATCAATATGCTAGTACAGCGGCTGGACTTCCGTGGAGGTTCCAGTACACTCGAACTACTGCGAAAATGCCAGATTGACTTTGCGCATAGTCTGAGCTTCCAATATCTGTCACTTGCCGAAGTCACCCATCGGCATCAGCACAACCTTTTCAATTCTATCATATCGGTTCAGTCTTTCATGGCGAGATATACACTTCCACACTCTTCACTGATAATTGATGATCAAGGTGGCAACGATCCAACAGAGGTATTCCCTTTTTCGCCCATTGATTGTTTGATTCTCCATGGGGACAATTAGGCTGATCGGTAGTGACACATTAGTACGACCTAGCAGTCAATATTGGAATTGACGTAGACGACATCCACATAGTCATGGATTTTAGATGTGGGTTACTCACCAATGACCAGGCAGCATTCGTCCTCGATGCTTTCGAGCAAGCAGTGCAGGGTATTGTGGACTTCAGCGACCAACCGGCTCGATCAGTCCCACTCCTCGGTGGAAGCTCTTATGAGACCATACGGAGGTGGAATCAGAAGATCCCGCAGCCTGTAGAGCGATGCGTCGGCGACATGATCCTGGACAACTACCGCACAAAGCCTTCTTCTCCAGCTGTCTGCGCCTGGGATGGCGATTTTACCTATGCAGGTCTGGAGACACAATCAGCGCGACTGGGCCGTGAACTCCGTGGCTGTTATGGCGTGGGCCCCGAGGTCTTCGTTCCAATCTACGCTATCAGGTCCCGCTGGGTCACTGTAGCAATCACAGCAGTAATTCGAGCCGGCGGCGCTTTCATTCTCTTGGATCCCAGCCATCCACTGCCCCGTCTGCGTACCATATGCGCCGACGCTCGGGCCGCTGTGATATTAGCACCCTCACAAAGTCAGGACATAGCGGCCCAGTTGGTTAGTCGGGTGGTGACTTTTGGTGAGGAACTTGGAGAAGCGGGAGACAGTAGTGGCGATGTGCATGGGGGGACAGAGATGGCCCCTGAACTTACCCCAAACAATGCGCTATACGGCATCTTCACCTCTGGATCAACTGGGCAGCCAAAAGGGGTGATTGTCCACCATCGGGCCTTTGCCACATCTGCCGTCAGTCAGGCTGGAACCTTGAAGATAGGCCCTGAGTCTCGCGTGTTGCAGTTCGCGTCATTCGCCTTTGATGCTGCAATTGGCGAGATTCTCACAACCTTGGTTCAGGGCGGCTGCGTGTGCATCCCTTCGAACGAGCAGCGCCAGCAAGCATTATCCAGAGCTGCATACGAGCTACAGGCAAACTGGGCTTTACTGACTCCGTCGGTGGCGCGTGCTTTGCGACCAGCCGACTTCCCAACGCTGCGCACCTTAGTCCTAGGCGGCGAAGCAGTGAGCAGCAAGGAGGTGCAAATATGGTCCCCAAATTTAGATGTCATTGTCGGATATGGCCCGGCGGAATGTGCTGTATGGTGTTCCGGTACAGTGGAGCATCCTGGCTCCGACTATTGCAGCCTGGGACGACCATTTGGCTGTCGCATGTGGATTGTTGAAGCTGAAAACCCAGACATTCTTGTCCCCATTGGTGCCGTGGGTGAACTGGTGGTTGAAGGTCCCAACATTGCCCGAGGCTACCTGAACGATGCTCGCACTGCTCGAGCAGCTTTCCTGGACGGTCCCCGGCCCTGGCTCAACGGGAAAACGAGCCGTCTATTTAGAACGGGCGACTTGGCGCGATACAAAGCGGATGGCTCGCTACATTTCGTAGGCCGCAAAGATCTCCAGGTTAAGTTACGCGGGCAGCGGTTCGAGCTGGCTGAGGTGGAGCATCACCTCCGTCAAGTATTTGACCAAACGCATGGCACTCTTGCAGAAGTAGCTACCACATGCAACGATACCAAGCTCTTGGTAGCATATATCCATCTACCAGATCTGTCAATCTCGGCTGAGGGCCCTGGCGAGTTGCTGATTAGGCCCGCCACTCATACGTTCCGCTCCAGCGTTCAAGCTGCCCAGACGAAGCTTCGTATGTGCATGCCTGAGTATATGGTGCCAACATTGTATCTACCGTTGCAGCAAGTGCCCCTGACAGCCAATGGTAAGATGGATCGTCGTCGACTCCGTGATGCTGTGAGGATACTCTCCCTAGCGGACTTGGAGGCCTACTCTGCTTCGGCCACCACCCGCACCAAGCCGTCCACGCCGGTGGAACAATGCCTACAGCAGATCTGGTCTGAGATACTGAACCGCCCTAAGAGCACAATTGGTTTAGAAGACAATTTTTTCCGCCTGGGCGGAGACTCGATTCGCGCCATGGGTATGATTCCCGCGGCTCGAGAAGTGGGCTATCGTATTACCATGGCCAATATCTTCAACAATCCCAGGCTCGGCGACTTAGCGCGGGTCGCAAGGCCCACCCCTGGGATAGCAGTGGCCTCGTTAGCGCTGGCGCCGTTCGCGCTGATTGAGAATTCGAGAGACCTTACAGATACCGCAGCAGAGCACTGTGGCATATATCCTCATCAAATTGAGGATATCTATCCCTGCACGCCACTGCAGGAAGGCCTCATGGCCTTGTCCAATAAAATCACCGACCGTTACAAGGTGACTTTCCGGTACCAGCTTGAGCCTCAGGTCGAGCTCGAGCAATTCCAAACCTCCTGGGTTGCCATCGCTGCGATCAATCCCATTCTTCGGGCGCGCATGATACAATCAGACTATCACCCCGGCACGTTTCAGGTGGTTCTGTTCGATTCACCCCATTTCCACATTTTCGAAAGCCAGGAAGTTTGCGATGAACACATCCGTGATTGTCAAATGGCACTTGGTAATGCATTGGTTGATTTCTCATTGATATGTTCGCGTGATTTGGACGCCGTACAATTTTACCTGACAATGCATCATGCCGTGTATGATGGGTGGACACTCCCATCTCTGTGGACACAGGTAGAGGCGCACTACCGACATAAGAGAATGCCAACCCCACCTCCCTTCAATCAATTTATTGAATATGTCCAGCTTCAAGCCAACGTAGCAGCTGGGTATTGGCGCAATGAATTCTCTGGCCTGTCTGCTCCTGTCTGGCCTCCATTGCCCTCAGCACGCCATGTACCAGTGGCAGACGCCTCCCTACACCAGACTATTACCGGCCTTCACAGCAGTAGCTTAAAATATACCACCACAACATTCATCCACCTGGCCTGGGCCATGGTCATATCATATCAGACCGACTCTGATGATATTGTCTATGGTGTCACTCTAAACGGACGCGGTACGCCGTTGACCGGTATTGAAGATATGACAGGGCCCACCTTCAGCAGCTTCCCGCTACGTGTTCAATTAGGGCTTGACTGCTACACGGTAGAGGACGCTTTGTCTAAGATTCAGCAGCAGGCGGCAGATCGAATACCCTTCCAGCATTTTGGGTTACAGAATATCCGGACTACAAGTCCGGAGGCCGTACAGGCGTGCCAGTTTCAATCCTATTTGGCCATACAAGCCGCGCCTCCGTCACAGGAAGCCTCTAGTCTGGTTGCAGAGTTACGAGATGGCCGTGAGGACTACGGCGCACTTGCAGAGTATGCCTTCGTGATGGTCTGCCGTCTGAATGACGCAGATATATCGTCCATGCAGGTGATTGCGAATTATGACCCGCAGGTTATATCGTCTGCGATGGCTAAGAGAATAGCAGGACAGTTCTCCCACATACTTCAACAGCTCCCTAAGAATCTGCAAACCCCGCTAAATCAACTTGATGTTCTTAGTCCTGATGACAATAATCAACTGTCTGTATGGAATCGTGAGCTTCCATCGTCTTTAGATGTGTGTTTGCACGATCTCGTGCGCGCCCATGCCACTGTAGCCCCTGATTCGGCGGCCATCTGTGCATGGGATGGGAAGCTCACGTATGCGCAGCTGATGGCCCTCTCCGGACAACTCGCTAATCAGCTGCGCGTTTTTGGTGTGCATCCTAGCGCTCTGGTGCCACTGTGCTTTGAAAAGTCCAAATGGACCGCTGTCGCCATGTTGGCTGTTCTGCGAGCTGGCGGCGCATGTGTGCCCTTAGATCCAGGACACCCTCCTCATCATATTCAGAACATTGTTCGCCGTACAAAAGCTAAGCTAATCCTGGCATCCCACAAAAATCGTCAACGTTTCCAGGCAAAGTGTGATGCCAAAGTCGTAACCATACCCTTACAGGGAGTGGCAGCACAAGCAACCACTGAATCCTGGCCAGCGCCCTCCTGCCATGATGTTGCATTCGTCATCTCCACATCTGGCAGCACGGGTGAACCAAAGGGAATCCTCATAGAGCACGTTGATCTCTGTACAGGAATCCGAGATCACAGCCCGCCGATGCGCATTAATTCTTCGACTCGCGCGCTACATTTTGCCTCTTACGCCTTTGACGCCAGTATCTATGAACTGTTCTCTGTATTAGCCAACGGCGGCTGTGTCTGTATTCCATCTGATTTGGACCGTCTTGGCAATCTGGCTGGATTCATCCGCGAGGCGCAGGTTAATTTTGCACTATTGACGCCTTCAGTCATAGATCGCCTGCTGCGACCGGAGCTAGTTCCAAGGCTCGATACAATTGCCTTTGGGGGCGAGGCAGTGACCCAGGATATTGTCGACCGCTGGCCACCAAATCGCAGGTTGATCAATGCATATGGACCTGCAGAAGCAACTATCTGTGCTGTTGGCGATATTAACCCCTGTTCTTGGACCGCCGGCATGATAGGGCCCGTTATTGGAGGTGTTGGATGGGTCACTATGCCGTCGGATGTGTCTCGTCTTGCTCCCGTGGGTGCTGTAGGGGAGTTGGTGATCGAAGGTCCGGTTGTCACCCGTGGCTATCTAGATGATCCAGAACGAACCGCCGCAGCCTATATCAGTCCGCCGGGTTGGTTAACTCGATTTCGGGGGAAAGAAAGGCCAGGTCGTCTCTATCGCACCGGAGACTTGGTACAATATACCGACGACGGAGGGATTCGTTTTGTAGGTCGAAAGGACACCCAAATCAAGTTGCGCGGTCAGCGCATTGAGCTAGCACATGTCGAATACCATGTACGACAGTGCTTCCCGGAGGCAGCAGATATCATCGCCGAAATTGTCCTGCGCGAAGGGAGGAATCCTACGTTGATCGCATTTATCGCCCAGACGCCGTCTGATGGCGGTAAATATGCGAATGATCAAAGCGATGCTTATCATGACAGCAGCTTGTTTCTCAGAAGCTGCACATCATTCCGGAGGCAAGTCGAGGCAGCTACCGCACGCCTACAATCACTCTTGCCTGCATATATGGTTCCTGCCATGTTTTTACGTCTGGCGCATGTCCCTCGAACAGGAAGCGATAAATTGGACCGACGACAACTTCGTGATCATACCTCCCTCCTTTCCAGCGATCAAATCCGGGCCTTGTCGGCGGGATCGGATGGGATATCAAGCACCTCGTATCCTCCCCAGACGGCACGGGAGCGCTTGCTTCAGCAGCTTTGGGCCACGGTTTTGAAGATTCCGCTGCATAGGATTGGAATCAAAGATGACTTTTTCGAATCGGGCGGCGACTCCATCCAAGCCATGAGAATGGTTAGCCTGCTACGAAGAGAAGGGTTGAGTCTGAATGTGTCCGACATCTTTGCGTGGCCAGTGCTCGAAGAGCAGGCTTGCGGTGCACGGGAGCATAGCATAGGCCTAGTGGATGTAGAGACCTACCATCCGGGGTCACTACTCGATATTAAAACCGCAGACCTGCAAACGTTTGCCACACGCGAATTAGGTTATCCCTTCAATACCTCAGTCTCTGGATGGTTTACAGGCTTGGAGGTCGAAGATATTCTTCCTACAACAGAATTTCAGCGTCAATTCCTGGAGCACCAGCAGATCCATTACATACAGCTTCACCTGCCGGTGAAGATCGATGCGGAACGCTTAGAGAAGGCGTGCCGTGCCATCGTAGACAAGCACCCCATGCTCCGGTCTGCTTTTCTGCCCTATCAAGAAGGGTATCTACAGGTATTGTTCCGCCGTCTGGATTTTGACTTCATCCAAATCTCGTGTAGTGAGGACTTTGACGCTTGTATCGAGCGTCTTTGTGTGGAAAACGCCTCGGCTGGGGTCGCTTGGGGAACCCCATACTTCCAGACTCTGCTTGTCTCGCAATCTCCGTCGAATTCGGTTCTAATCGTGCGCGGTAGCCATGCTCAATTCGATGGAGAATCGATGCCCCTGATAATTCAAGATCTAATTTCGGTATATGAGACAGGGCAACTCGACCAGGTCACTTCGCCGTCTTTTGCACTGTACTTGCGGCACCGCCAGATACAGGCAAACCCACGCACATATAATTTCTGGGAGCAGTACTTGCGGGATGCTGCGATGACGACTCTCAACCTCTCGGGATCAGACAGCGACCTTCCCCTCAATGCCCGTCGAACCATTCCTCTGCCCACACCACCCCGCGGAGTCACGATGTCATCTTTCATAAACGCCGCCTGGGCCGTGGTTTTAGCTCAAGTCACCGGCCAACGGGACCTTGTGTTCGGTCACGTCCTGAACGGACGCGACATACCCGTCGCCAGCATCCATGCTATGTCTGGGCCGTGCGTTACTGTCTCCCCCATTCGCATAACCATCCCCTCGTCCTCTTCCAATAACCAAGTCCTCGAGTTATTGTGTCATGTACAGCACCAATACACTCAGACCTTGCCATATGCGGGCATAGACTTTGAGACCATTCGCCAGCACGCGACGTCATGGCCCGCGAATGTATCCTTCGGCAGTCTTTTAACACATCAGAATGGCGCCCATAGATCGAACTACACATTCAAGGGAGTTGAATGTACTTTGAAGACTCGGGTCATAGGCGACATTCCCCAGTTTCATGTAGTCACGGTTCCTTTACAGGATCAGAATGAACTGATTGTGTACCTTGACATCTCTAGTCGGCTGGGGAGTTTGGGAGATATAAAGGATTTGTTGGAGAGGTTTTGCTCTGCCATTGCAGATTTAGATCGTGGGGTGGTTCCTCTTTGATGTGAGATGGAGAGGAAGATAAGATGAAGTATTTAGATGAGGTGTTGGAGATGGAGCAAGTGTCGTATAGTGGTTAGTGATCAAGGAAATAGACCTAAAGGCGTGCACATACTTCCATCGTTACCAGATAACCACTATCTCCCAGAATTAATTAGACATTATCGAGGATCCCACGACCCATAAATCATTAATATCAGATAATATTGAGCGCAAGTAGTCCTCCTCCGACTAACCTTCTACCATCTACAACATGTAGTACTGCCAATTCAGACCGCCCATTTGACCGCCAAAAGCGGCAGAACCTAACGAACCTCGCATCGAAAAGTACGGATATAGGCGGCTATAGACGGATATCCAATCTATACAGCCCCGAAAAACTGAGTCAGCAATCTGTATGTTTTTGGACCGCTTTGGGTGGAGGGGGCAGAATTGGGAGTTGGCGATGGATAGATAGTTTGTTCGATTGGACTGATATTGGGATTGATTAACTCAAGAGGTGTTTGCTTGGAGCTCTGGGGAGAAATAGACGTAAGTTCCTTCGTTTTGTAACTGATATAAGGATTATTGTTTAGGAAAGTATGTATCTACTATTTCTTCGATCCTTCGGTTCTAGCACATCTTCTACAGTGATAGCTTTCAAGATAGTAGTGCTGCTGATGAGATATCATGTCTTGATGTCCATTTCTATGGCAGTATACTTTTCTTCTCTTGAAGGACATGAAAGCTTTTAAAAGTATTCTGGGAGCAATGAATATTCCCCTCGTTCCAAATAGTAGTAATATCAAAGTAAACGTCTGTCGTATACACATGAAGAGTTAGTAGTAAATAGTCTTTACCACCACTTAAACCACGATGATGATCCTGTCTTACTCCCACTTCCAGTACTACCACTACTAGTAGTACCTCCATCATCATCACCACCACCACCATCAACAGTACTAGTAGTCGGAATAGCACTCCCCTTCCCCTTCCCAACCCCATCCCTATCATCAATAAAACCCCCATTCCCTTCCTCCCCCTCCCCTTCCTCTACATCACCACCATCCCCCTCCACCCCTTTACTCTCCACATACCCCATCATCTCCTCCAACACCAACAACTCCCTCTCCACCACCTCCGCCCAATTCTGCACGTCCCCAATCTCCTTCAACCCGTCCCGTGCCTCCCCCGCCAACTTATCCCAGCTCTCGTTCTGCTTCGCCAGCGCAGCCGTATGTGCTTCTAGCTCTGCTTGCTGCTTGTCCAGCGCCGCGGCATTCTCTGTGATGGTGTGTGCGCGCTCCACGAGCGGGCTGGCATGTGTGCTGCCGATGTTGAGGAGCGTCGCGCTGAAGGCCGATTTGGCTTCTAGGGTTTCTTTGCTTTTCTCGGGGGGAGGCATGTTATTCTTATAATTTGGAGGGGGGTTTTTGTGGTTGAGGAGGGGGGCAGTATAGTATAGAGGTGGTTGTTGATGTGGAGATGTTTATCTGATAGATAGTAGATAGATAAGAGGGGGGTTGAATGGATGGATGGATGGATGAGGGGTGGGTGGGTTTGTGGGGTTCCCATGGTAAGGAAGAGGGAAGGTTACTTATGAGTAGTTCTCTGTGCGGAAGAGGATTACTTAGCTCCGGTGTCCCCCTCTGGAATTGTTCCATGCAACATGTGCTGCGCTAATGCATCTATTTATCTGTCTATCTGTCTGTCTGTCATTCAACAAATGCAACCAAGTTAACATTGTATACATAACGCTGATAATGCATATTCAATTTTTACACATCAATGAATGTTGCCCACGCTAACGCCCGCCCGAAATTCATATACTGCCAAATGATAGCTATGTATGCTCGCGTATACACTGGAAAACAAAATCAATTACATCCATTACATCCCGTCTCTTCCTCACGTCGACTTTTTACATATTGGCCAGCTCGTGGTCAATTTGTCGGTCGAGGAACGCCCGCTTGTCGCCTATCAATGTCGTTTGTAGTCGCTGCTCGACTAATGCACGCACTGTTTCTGTTTGTTAGCATCCCATCCGATCAAATCAGTGGAAGATGACTCACCCTGCTTCTTCGTCACCGTGTCCAGATCTACCTCCGCCAAACAGGCGCGGATCGCCTCGGTGATCGACCCCTCGTCGGGCCCGCCGCTTCCCCGGAAGTCGAACGCACTCACAGGTCGCGATATCCCACCTACGGGACTGCGCGAGTTGGGCCGCCCGAGCAGGTTCTCCGTGCTTTGCATCAGCCCCACGCTGTGGCGGTTCGTCAATCCATCCGGCACACTGAGATTGCCCACCGACCGTGACGCCATATGTCCACTGGCAAACGGCTGATCCGTGTATCGCGTAAGACTCGACATGTGCGAGTTGCGGTTACCCGGGGTGTTGGCAAACGGTGCTGGCGACTGCGGTGGCATGTACGGGCTGCCGTGGCGGCCCTGGTGATGCGGGAACCCAGTCAGGATCGTCGATGCCGGCTTCACCGAAGAATAGTTCGAGTGCATGTCATCCATCTCCAGCGCCATATCATCATAACGGCCACTGTACATCTTCTCCTGGCTCATACCAAAGTCACCGCGCCGTCCCGGCAGGTTGTTGGCCAGCGCGTAGTCATCCCAGCGCTGTAGCGGCACGCTACGCGGGTCGAAGCCCTCGTCGTCCACTGCCACCACGCGCTTGTTGCCCTGTTCTCCAATGACAATACGCGTGCTACCCCAACTGAAGTCGTCCTGCTTCCAGAACGAATAGAGCGGGAGAATGAAGTTGTAGATAGGATAGGCTAAAATGTAGATGATCATCCAGCCAATGTGCTGCCACTGCCGTTTCAGAAGGAAGATGATCGCCTGGAGACCATAAACACCTGCCAGGATGACAATCGAAATCATAGGGAAGGGACCGGTGTGACTGGCAACGCGGTAGATCAGGTAGCCCAGGTAGACACAAGTCGCAGGCAGGATGACCGTTCCGAGAAGATCAACCAACACGACGAATCGCATACTGAACAAGCAGAATCCGCACATATCTTTCAGCATGGCCACTTCCACCAGGTTGTGCACGGTTGAGTTGATCCAACGCCGACGCTGCGACAGCAAGACCGACCAGGTCTCTGGCGCGGCCGTACTGGCGTACGCATCCGGAATGAACTTGTAGGACATCTCCGGGAAGTGCTTCGTCATAAGCGTAGTCAGGAAACGATCCTCACCAAGCGACAGGAGGTTCTTCTTATGAAGAGTATCAACATCATTGTCTGCATACTCCTCAATAACCTTGTCAGAGATGATCAGAGGCTTGCCCTTGTCGGCGGTCCGCAGACGGTACATGCAGAAACTGTTCCTGTTAGTCAATGAACTTGTCGAAGGATTGAATCAACTTACCATCCGGGTAGACATGTGACACTACCGAAAAGCGACTCGAACGCCTTGGCCAGGTGATGTGAAATATAGTACTCATACACCTGAATCATCGTCCACCAACTTCGCTCTTCATTCTGCAGACTGGTCTCACCACAAATACCAGCAATGCGTGCATCGTTGGCACAAGCGGCAACCAGACGGTTGAGTGAATCTTCTCGGACACTGGTATCGGCGTCCACCATCAGACAGTATTCGTAGAGCTCAGGGTCGACACCGATGACATTGTTGATTTGGTGGAAAATCTCCAGCTCCAGCGGCGACATAGGTGAACGATGGTGTACCCGATTGAGGAACTGCATCATCATGATCTGCGAGTCACGCTTTCCCCTGTTTCCAGGTTTGGGCCGACTCTGCTCCGACTCCTTGCCGACCTTGACAACGACAATATACGGGACCACGTTACCCTCATACTCGTAAAGACCAGAATACACTTTGCCGTAGTTCAGCTGCTCGCTACCCTGGCCAATGGCCTTGCACGGCAACGCCGGGGGATCAACCTTCGGGTCAACTCCCAGAATATCGAGAACAATCTTAGGTGTAGGACGATCATTTCCGCCACCAACAATCATACCGTCGCAAATGACGAAGATGAGCTTCCTCTTGTTGTCGTACTGAAGAGCCGTGAGGGAGTCGAGACCTTTACGCAGCGCATCCTCACCTTCTGTATACGCCGGCACATGGCAGATAACGAACTTATCCTGTGGTGCAGGACGACGCTTGGAGCCAAGTTGAAGGGCACTAACAAATTTAACAAGGATAACAGCGCAGATAAGAACCGTGAACGAGAGAAGAATCCAGTTGTTAACCGTACAGCGGGGGCTGTCACGGAAATCCACTTTGCCTTTATAGAAGACATAGTCAAGACACGTCTGTGACTGCTGGAAGTCTGTTGTGTTCTGCCATTTGTCGGTAACATCCTCACCCGCATAATTCTTGAACAAGTCGGTTACGCTCGACGGTAGGAAGGCGTAAGTGTCGTCATTATCGAACAATTCGGCGGTATAGAAGTAGTCCGTAAGGTCATAGATTTTGTCGTGAACGATGACCCAATACCGTGAACTATCCGTTGCTTGTTTTTGTACGGTGCTCTTCGACCAAACAAGGGGACCCTTGTAATAGGTCTTGATCTTGGGCAAAAAGATGTCCTCATACCAAGTAATGTTGTGCAGCTTGGTGGTGGTACTGGGGGTGTGATAAGATCCACAGTAGTGCTCTGCGTTGGGATACTCGAGGGCATTGGTGTTGTTAAACTGCAGAGTGACTGACTGCTCCGTCACGTATGGCGAGCAGAAGCGAGTCAACGGAGGGGTGAAATACTGATCCAGAATCTCACCCGCGAATGGCTTCATGTTGCTCGTTGTCGTTTCAATCGAAGAATCACTGTGCTGAAGTCTCCAGAACTTGGTAATGTCGTAGACGTTCCCATGAATACTGACATAGAAATCGTTGTCGAGAGCATGCCAACTTAGTTGCTTCTCATTCCAAGCCTTGTCCTTGTTCGGGCAAAGCAGATCACCAAAGGCAATAATGTAAAAGCAAACCACACCGTTGAACAGCAGAATGATAAGCATCAGAACGAGCTTCTCGCGCCAGGCCATCCGGACATCGGGACGCTTCATCCGGCCAAACCAGCGCAGAGCGAACGATGGAATCCAGAAAGTCAACGCCCAGACAAATCCGACCCAGATGCGTCGGCCCTGAGTAATGGGCTTCTTTTCAATGTGTTTGGGGTCGCCGACTTCAGGGTCGAGCTCGCCGTTGTTATAATGGGCGTATTCGTCAGAATACGGATTGTCCCACTTCCTAGTATCACCCTTCGAGCCGAGACCATAATCGCCACCCATGTTTAGAGTCTGGGGGACACTTGGCGCAATTGATTTGGCGCCTCCATGGAAGCTGGGCGCCAACGTGCTCTGGCGGTGGTTGAGAAGGTCGTCTCGACTGCCCAGAAGGCTGGTGGATTCTGCCATAGGAGTTCCCGCATAATGGGGCATCCCGGCATCGAGCATGGTGTTCCCGTACAGGAAAGGGTTGGCCGTCGCGGGCTCGTCTGGTTTCATGTCAAGCATTGTTTCAGCTTCCCACCATGCACTTTCTCTCATCCAGATTCGCTGGTGACCCACGAAGGCATCTCCGTTGGTCCAGCCTCTCTCCATCAACCAACTCTCAACACCATCCCGACCCTCAGCGCATCCGAGACGGCAATAACGGCCGACGAACTCATCCATGTCGAAGTCGGCCGTAAAATCAATCTGCCTGAGGCGTCGGTTGGCCCATTCAGCAAGTCTCCATTCCCGCAATTGCCGGGACACGACTCCTGCTGACCAGGCGGCCGTCGGCGAGAAGGTGTTGAGTGTCTCGGGCAGATCATCAGTCGGGTGGACGGAGATATGGTGCCAGACCCTGCTACTTCCCAGCGTGGTGGGAAGATCAAACCGGCCCCGCTTCCCAACCGTGATACCTTCGGATTCAACAGGGAGCAAAAGTTTTCGGAGGAATGAGTCCATGTCGACTTCCAGCCCAACCTTCTCCAGCACTTCTTGTCGCTTGCCGAGTTCATACTCGCGTTCGTGCCAAGCAGAACCCGTGGTGATTCCGAGGTCCGCCTCAACCTGGGCTACCGCAGAGGAAACATCGTTTGCAATAGCATGTCCTACAGGAGGAACAGTGACGCCATCCTCCTTCATTTCCGCGTTGATACCAGTATTGTCATCGAACACGTTGCGAACTGCCACAGCTTTACCTAGAGCAGGTCTGGGAATATCCACCACAGAAATGCTGACCGTGTCATCATCAGTCCACTGGCCGCCAGGACCAGAGCCACCACTGGTGCTGGGGTCGTTGTCGAGAATCGCTTGAAGCTCGCTGGAAATGGCCTCGTTGGCCTTTTCGATCACCCAGTCAACCAGTGCCTCGTAAATCCCCGAGATCAGTACCTCGCGATCATCAGTGGAGCAACTGTGCAGCAGAACTTCCGGATCC